TATTATTTCTTACTTCTCTTTTTGTGTCTCTTTTGATATTGTCCTGTTTTGGTTGTCGGTTGTTGGTTGTTGGCTATTGGTTGTTGATTACTTGGTTATTGGCTAATGATTGTTGTCTTGTACTTAGAAGATTTTAATTTGTCAGGTAACATGCATACCACTCAACTTTTTTTTTTTTTTTTTTGACATGGCCTAATTAGTTTTTTTCTTTTGTTGTTTTATTAAATTTACAGATACATTAAAGCTATGATAAAATGAAATTTGGTAGAATGAATATTTGGTGTTGGAACTTGGAACTTAGAACCGAGTGTTTTTTTTGTATTTGTAATGTATTTGTATATTGTTGATTTATTACTTAATTATTTTATAATAATGATTTATAGTTTTTTAAGAATTTGAGTGTGAAACTTCAAATGTATATTTCACTTGTAACTTATTATTAATAATTTGTAATATAATAGTTGAAGAAATATTTTTTTTATATAAAGGGATGTTATTTATTTATTTTCTTTTGACAATTTAATAATTAATAACTAAATTTATTATCATTTTATTTTTTTTACTCATTTTAAATTGAATTTGAATCGAACACGAACAAATCGAACAATGCAAACAATACTAACAATTTGAACACTTCAAACATTTCGAGCAATTTGAAATACATTAAAACAAATCGAACCGAACACGAACATTAATTTTACAAACAATTTTGAACACGAGCATATTTCAAACACATAATTTCAAACAAATCGAACATGAACATGAGCTTTGTCCATTCATGTTTGGTTTGTTTACACCCTTACTTGTAGGCATTGCATGTCATCGACTAAACATCAACCCTGTTGTACGATTAGTAAAGCAAAAACTTAGGACGTTGGCCGCTACTTCAACCGGGTCAATCTAGTAAGAAGTGAAGAAATTGGTGGAGTCAGGTTAACGTCCAGTGCCCAAAATGGGTATCCGATGTGGTGATGGCGTGAAAACGCAACGACAAGTGGTGGATGTGCGTCGATTTCAGCAACTTGAACGCCGCTTGCCCGAAAGACAGTTACCTTTGCCAAGAATTGAAGCGCTAGTAGATTCGATAGTTGGGCACACAGTGATGAGCTTTATGGAAGCTTTCTCCAAGTACTAGCATATCAAGATGCATCTCGACGATGCTGAAAAAATGACTTTTATTGCTTGCAAAGGAGCAAACTGTTATAATGTAATGGTCTTTGAGCTTAAAAATGTCGGCGCCACCTACTAGTGTTTAATGGATGTACTTTTTGCAAAACAAAAGAGAAGAAATGTTGAAGTATATGTGAATTATGTGTTAGTGAAGAGTAACCCGAACAACATATAAAAACTTAAAAGAAACGTTTGAAACTTTTAGGAAATTTAACATGAAATTAAACCCCCCAAAGTGCATTTTCAGAACCTCAACCAAAAAGTTTGTGGTTTATTTTCTAACACCCTAGGATATCAGAGCCAATCCAAAAAAGGTGTGAGCTTTGCTGGACATGCCTTCCCCACAAGACATGAAAGAAGTACAAAGATTGATTGACCAAATAGCGGCTTCAGTCATTTCAATTCTAAGTCGGGTGATAAATGTGCTGCATTCTTCAAAGTTGTTAAAAAAGCCAAACACTTTGAATGGAACAACACATGAGAGGAAGCATTAAAAAATCTCAAGGATTCACTCGCCTCGCCTCCACTCCTCTAGAGCCCGTAGCCCAGCTAAGAACTCATTATACCTTGAAGTCTAACCCGAGGCTGTCAATTCAGTACTAGTTCAAGAAGAACAGAGAAACATCTCCTCTTATAATAGACCGACCTGGTACTGAGGGATGCCGAAATCTGGTTTTGCATTATGGAGAAACTAACTTTTGCCCTCATCGCATCTTCTTGCAGGCTTCGACCCTACTTCTAGACACATTTGATTCGGGATATCACCAATTAAACTCTAAAATCATTCCTCACTCGGTTAGATCATTCAGGCAGGCTCTTCAAATGGGCAGTGGAACTAAGCAAGTTTGATATCTCCTACATCCCCTGAACGACGATCAAAGTCCAAGTAGTCACAAACTTCTTAGTAGATTTCACCGAACCATCCGAATAAGATGAAGGGATTGATGCAAAAGATTGCTGTGGATTTTGAATATTGATGGAGCCTCATACAAAACAGCCTCAACGTTAGGTCTCGCTTTGTGGAGCCTGTCTGGTGAACACCATTACCAATCAATTGCCATAGATTTTAACATTACTAACAATCAAGCATAATACAAAGTGTTGATAACTGGCCTACGCCTCGCCCACCATGTCGTGATGCTCCACCTCCATGTGAAAATCAATTCACAACTTATAATAAATCAAATAAACAGAGAGTTTGAAGCTTGGGATGACATCATGGAAAAATACCTCACCAAGGCTCATGTAGAAATTTAGCGGTTCACAGCTTTCAAATCGACCACGTTAGATGAGAGGAAAGGTAGGTACCTGACCCATTATCTAAATGCTCTCAACTCATAGGCAAGACGTCTCAACGGTTGAGTCGGCAAACTATCAAGGAACCTAAGGTGATGGAGGTCTCCGCTAACAAACCAAAGACTTGGATGGACCCTACATTCATTACATTGAAACCAGAGACTAACATAACAAGTTACTAATCTGAGGTGCTTCAAAATCAAAGCGGCCTAGTACTTAATGATGGAAGGAACGCACTTCAAAAGATCCACTACCTCACTCAAGAGGTGCACTCGGGTGAATGTGAAAGCCACTCAAGAGGAAAAACCCTAGCTCAACGAGTGCAACACCAATGATACTTTTGATCTACACTTCTCAAAGACGCCGAGGAATTCGTGAAGAGGTACGAAAAGTGCTAGAATCCAAGAGAGATGAAATGCTACTAAATTTCACTTTAGAGATAGAAATTTTTGATGTTTTGGGTCTAGACTTCATGGGACTCTTTATACCTTCTTTAGAGAATCTGTATATTTTGATAGTTGTGGATTATGTCTCTAAATAGAGGCAGTGGCTCTGCCAAATTGTGAGGCTCAAAGTGCATCTAAATTTTTAAAGAAGAATATATTTTGTAGAAATATTATCCCTCGAGTTATTATTAGTGATGGTGGGAGTGACTTTAGAAATAAGAGGATTAAGACATTGGTTGGAAAGTATAGTATAAATCATAAGATATCGACAATGTATCGTCCCCATACAAGTGAATTAGTGGAAGTTTCTAATAGGGAAATCAAAAGGATCTTGGAAAAGACAATCAATCCTAAAAGAAAGGATTGGGCTTTAAAACTTGATGATGCTTTATAGGCTTATAAGACTGCTTATAAAACACCCATAGAAATGTCTCCATAAATGCTCGTATTGGTAAAGCTTATCGCTTGCCAGTTGAATTGAAACACAAATTCTATTGGGTTATCAAAGAGTTGAATTATAATATGAAGGCTGGTGAGAAACATTTGCTACAGTTAAATGAACTTGATGGGATTAAAGAATAATCTTATGAAAATGCCAAAATATATAATGAGAAGATGAGGAAATTTCATGATCAAGATATTCTTAGAAAACATTTTGAGCCTAGACAGAAAGTTTTATTGTATAATACATGATTGATATTATTCCCAGGAAAACTAAAATCTAGATGTTCATAACCATTTATTGTAGTGAAGATTTATCTTTTTGGTGCGATTGATATTGAAGATCTAAAGAGTGGAAGAGTGTTTAAAGCGAATGAACAGACTTAAACCATAATTAGGCGGAGAGAGACCCGTTTTTAAAGAGGTTTTGATGTTGGGTCATCCTGATTAGAATCTCTGGCATTTTCAGTTTGAGGGCGTAAAACTAAACGCTTCTTGGGAGGCAAGATAAGTTTGTTGATGAGTGTTATTGTTGGGTTGTATGTTCATATTTGTGTAAGTGTGCTTGTGTAATTTATTGTGATTGAATAGGTGTTATTTTAGGAGGATTAAGTGACTCAAAGGACAAATTATGCAAATTAATTGACCAAGGCCTAGGCTAATATGGGCACTTGCAGCGCCTAAGTGCCACTTCAAGGGCAAGCGGCGCCTGAGCGTTGCTATCATGGTGCTTAGGCGCCACCCTTACCTGCACACATATTAAGCCAAATTCGGCCCGATTCACTCCATTTGCGCAAATTTTTCCCCTGTTTCTTCTTTGACAACCGAGAGACTATTCTTAGGGCTTCCAAAATTCTTCCAAATCTTCTTGATCCAAGGGATTCTATAGGGTGAAAATCACTTCTCTAAGATAAGTTTCACTCCTTGAATCCAATCCTTCAATTTTCAGCCAAAATTTTTGAATTTTTCTTGAGGAAACTAGGGGTGGAAGTTTTGGAAAATTTTGATGTGAATTGATTTTTCTTCCTAATTAGCATATTGTTTGCATCCATATTTACCTTACTACTTTTTGGTCTCCTTATTCGTTGGATCTACATTAGATTCATACTGACACGTTTCTGATGTACATTATTTTTATTTTATAACACACATTTCCCTTACCAATATATATTTTAATTATCTCATATAGATTCATTGCCATCATGTGCCATAACATGACATGCTCCACATTGTCAGATATTGTTGAGAAAACTTTAAAATGATTCCTTGATTTCTAGTCAAATTCTAATCATATATAAAATTTATTTAAATGGCTATATATTGACTAATGGGATGACTTCAAAAGAATTTTCAAAACATTTTTCATTTAGGAATTTAATAATCTTATTTTTGTAATGGCAATTCACAAATCATACTTGAGATATTATTTATGATACATGATATGAATATAGCATAATGATATCATAATAATTGCTATATATTAAAATACATATAAACAGAAGCACTCACCTAAAAAAGTTTGCCAAGCTTTGAGGTACCAATGTGACTAATCTATCATGGCACATGTATTAAACTGTTTATCCATTTGCCTTAATGTACCTTTATTTTTAAGATCTTATTCACATGCACAAAGTGTACATGCAATTAACAAGTCCAGTAAAATGTACAGAAAAACAAAAAAAACTGCTGTCACTTCAAGAGCAAATTACTGTATCATGAAAAATAATAAAAATAAAAAAAAATGTTCCATAATTGATCAATACTATGATATTAGAGCTAAATGCAATGAAGGATATATTCTGGGAATCGAACTTGTCATACGGCGGCAGCAAAGTCATTAAAAATGGTCTCCAGTGTTGCTTGGCTGATGCTGTAATCTTCTATACCGAGTTTCCATCTGATAGATGTGTAACGTTAATAACGTTGCAACAGGAACAGGAAAGTGAGCGATGAGGTAAAGGTAATCAAAGGTGCATTTCTACCTATTATTTTCCAGGTGCCCGAATATGTCGGCAAGTGAGGAATGCTCTCTGTAGGGTAACTTCAAAATTTTAAAACAGAAGAGAAGATTGCCTGTTAGTACTTGATACGGCGAACGAAACAAAATAATTTTAACAAGTGTCGTCGGCTATTACCAAGATTTAAAACTTAAAACAACAACAACTACAACAATAGCTATATCCCACTAAGTGGTGTCGGCTACATGAATCCTTATTCTCCATTGCGTCAAATTTAGTGTCATATTTTCATTTAATTGTAATAAATTAAGATCATTTTTTATACAATATGCCCGAGTCATCTTAGGTCTACCTCTGTCTTTCTTAATATAAGTCGAATCTAAGACATCGAGTTTTCTAATTGGATCATCAGATGGTCGATGTTTAATGTGACCAAACCATCTAAGGCGGCTCTCTTTAATTTTTGTATGTCACTGGAGCTACACCAAAATTTTGAACTTAAAAATTTAAATTTAAAAACAATAGTCCTTTAATTGAATTAAAAGATAGTTCAAGGAAATCAATTTGAAAAGGAGATGTCGATTTAATTGTACTAGCATGAGGCTTTGGGAAAATTCATAGTTGCTACAAAATTAGAGAGAGAAATTATGGGGTAAACTATACTATATTTTCACAACAACAAAATGTGATCTTTATAACAAACACATCCTTGAGAAGTGAGAATACTTCTTGAGATATGGAGCAATCAAATCTCAAATAATTATTTTAGTCATAAAAATGAAAAATCTCATATAGAAAAGGTTATAAGATGGCTTGGAAAGTTTTAACCACTTGAGTATAAGTTATGTGCGCATGTCTTGGAAGTATGAAAACACTACCATAAGAAATTATTATCCTAGTACAAATGGTAGAACTTAAGAGGTGAAAGGCTGGTAACTTGTTAGAATGATTTTTTGGGTGAGATAATTATAAGATATTTCATAGTTGAATCCAATCTGAATTGGGATAACTAGCGCATGGACGGACATGAGATAAGATTTTCTGAATTGGTTTAATCACGAAGCTATTATATAGAAGATTAAATAATTAGATGAGAATATAGTTTCTGGTGCTGAAAATGAATGATTAAAAGGGAGTAATGTCATAATGATAAATTTATGATTGCACCAAATAAATGTTTAATATATTAAACTATTGGGAAAAACATCATATAAAGCAGCATGGATAAATTTGTATAGGAAAATTTACCCAATTTAACATTTCAAACACAATGGGAATTGATGATGGAAAAAAATGGTCTACTTTGTAAGATAGAGTCCAAGAAAATAATTTGATATTGTAAAATTACTATTTAATAGAACGTACTAATCATTACCACCACCATTTGTTGTCCCCTATCAGGAATTATTTGCTTATTGTTTGTGAAACGATAGACCATAACAAAGTTATAGTGAAAATGAAATTGGAAGCAAAGTTAAAAAAATACATTAAAACACATGCACGAGAAGGACGATGAAGACATCTAATCCGTTCCTGAAGATCTGCAGAACGTAATTACAATTACTGGTTGCCAGGAACATCTGAGGTAATTATAGCTCCCCAAAACGTTGTTAGTAAAAAATGACAACATTTATTTCTCTTAAATCCTTGAATGGATGAGATAATAATATGGGTTCTCTGGTTAAAATAAGAATTAAAAAAGCACCAAGCTGTGATTGATATAGTTCACTGTTGACGATGCGTGCAAGAACCATAATGATCAGTGCTTAATGTTCTCAGATTGCTTCTACATAACCAGAAAACTTATGTTGAACAATATAGTTCACACTATAATGTAAATTTACTAGCATATCAAAATCCACAACTACCCATTTAATAGGAAAATCTTCATAATGACACCCACTTTGCGCATTCTACAATGCCTACAGGCTACATAAGCCCGTGATTTAGCATTTATGAGCATAGTTCCAGATTAATTACATTTTAGTAGCCAAGTAATTCAAATTCCTACGACAAGCTCATATAGAGAACATTGTCGAGGAAACCTAATATGATGAAAATAAAGCCAAATTTGTCTGTTATTGCATCAATTAAAATGCCAAAAAGAGTGAGGTGAAATAAAAACCCTAAACCCTAAACAACAGGCCGTAGTAGGCGCCTTTAAGAATCTATTCGTGGCATCATATTACAAATAAAAACAGATTACCTGATATTTGACACTCAATCCATTGCAGCCATGGAATTTAGCTCCAGGGAATGATGCAAGAATGAATGAATCAATTCGCGTGAACTTCTGTTTGGCCAACCACCACTCACAAAATATCCTCAAGGGTATACTACCTATTCTCATAATTAAAGCAAGAAAACAAGAAATATAAGTTCAAAGGCAAATAAGTTAGCATAAACATTTAGCAATGAAAGATAATAATTGATATTGACAGAAGTTAGAAAGGTGTATGGCAACCTGAAAAGAGCATCTAAAAATTCAACATACTATGCTAGGAATAAAATTCTCCTAGTGACTTCAAAATTCTAGACTTTGCAACTGTTTGAATCCGAACTTGTTCCCGCCTCATGTATGACTAATCTCGCTCAACTTTTAAGTTAATTTTGATTTAATGTATTTTATTTCTTTATTTTTTAATACTTGCAATCTTTTACAATTACATATGACCTTTTTTACCAACTAGAAATAAAATTTCATAATATTAAAAAAAGCCTAAATACAAGCAGTCTAAGATGTATTTAATAGGACATTGATTGAAAGTAAATTTTTAAAAGCCTAGATTAGTGAGAATGAAATGAAAACAATTACCATCCCGAATTAGCTGCTCTGACAATTGCTCGCCAAACACTCCATCAGAAACAGGATTACAAGATAATATTGTCTTAATTGATTCTTCATACCCTAACATGCGTGCTGTTAAGATTATCATCTCCCTTGTCAAAGAAATCTCTGCTACACTCTTCGAAGAAACTGAACTACTCCCAACAATGCAAGTTTCAAGGTCATCAAGAATACTCCTACTATGATTTGGAAAATCAAGGAGTATTTCTTGAATACTTTTGCACATATTATCAATCTCGAGTGTAGCAACCTCAGTGGGTTTTACCTGAGAGAAAATGAAAAGGTCAAGGGAAATTTACATATGTAGCACACAATTCTTATTTATTTACATATCTCACAGCGAAATTAGCACTTTGGTGCTTTAAACCTATGCATGAAAAGGGCAGTTCACTTTAATAGTGCTAATTTTGATGTGATATTAAAGATTTGAGTGATATTCGTATAAATATGAAAGTTTAGGTGTGAGTTATGTAAAAACATGAGAATTGTGTGCTATGTATGTAAATGCCCCAAAGGTTAAATACATACATGAATGAATGACAACATGAAAAGCTACAACAAACCTCGAGCTCAAGGTGATTGCCATAGCGCGATTTTAGATGCTGTGGACTCCCAAGGCACCGGAGCTTTCCACCAACCTTCAAATTAAGTATGAAAACGTTCACTTATCACCATCCGATAATCAATGACATTTTCAAGGTCACTGAAATAAAATTCTTTTCAGAACATGTACCATGATTCCGATCCGTGTGCAAAGTGCCTGAGCCTCATTCATGCTATGAGTTGTAAGTATGATAGCTGTCTTTCCTCGTCTGGTTGATAAATTAGATATGACATTCCACAAAAACCTCTTAGCTATGGGATCCATGCCTGGCAAGATAGATTCAATAATTACACATACAATAAATTATCCATATATAATATATATATATATATATATATATAAGCCCAAGGGTAATAATATTAAAGAGAAAATGGTACAGATAGGTTGTATGAGTAGGCCCAAAAGTAGGCACCCAACCCACACGATACAACACACGCAAAAAAAACCCAAAAAGAGAAGATACTTATAAGATCAATCGGGACGACCCAATTTAGTTCTGTCTCTGCCTCTAATTCTCGGAAGGGAACCAACTAACAAATTGGTGAGGTGTGTACCATTACCCGAAGTAACCAAAATGCCATCCATTAGATTCCTGAGCTCAAGTAGATCTTCATTCTTCTTCTTCCTCCTGGTAGTGTAAGCCTGTCATTCCTCATCCGAAGATTGTTGCTCATTCAGATGAGATGGTAGAACTGTAGTACAAAGATTGTCAACCGTTGTATCCACAGTAGGTTCTGGTGTATGTGAAGTATGAGTTGTCGCCTCTACACCAGATATTTCCTGAAGATGGGGAGCTGCAAGGTTCTCCTGATTATCAGTCCAAACACTATCCTTTGTAATCCTTTGTAGGTAACCTTTGTAGGTAATGAACCTTCAGTACTGTTTTCAATGGGATTTGAAGGTGCAGATTGTCCAAAAGAGCCATCCAGCATCACATCAATCGCAGAAACAATATTGTTATTGTTAGGGGGGTCCAAAGGGACAATTAAATTAGACACCAAATTATGTCTTATGGTAGTTTCTTCCACAGGTGGAGCAGATAAGTCCAAAGCAGTAGGGTTAGACCCATCCTTATTCACTTGAACTTTAGATTTCAAATTAGGATGGAGTTTGTGGCATTTATCAAGGTTATGCCCAAACATCTTACAATGGCTACAATAAGGAGGTCTATGTTCCATGACGATTTATTGTCAATATCCATTATAAGTTGTGTCCAGTCAGTATTTTGGCCACAAAAGATCTGTTTAGGTTGAAAGTGGATAGATTTAGCTTCATAGGGTCCCCAAGTATGGTCATAATAGAGAAAAAAACCTGATGATTAAAAAAGTGCAACTTGAGACCAGATAAACTAAACCGGTACAGTAGGAGATTCATGATTTGGGTCAAAATCAGGAGACCACTTAAGTAACTTCATTGACTTGCTGTCAATATTAAGATATTTCTTGGAGAAAATCTGAGTGTAGTATTCAGCCATAGTTATATGAATCAACACATGTCTTCTATCTATGAACCCCACTTTCCACTTGTCTGCTAGTTTGAGATCATCAAAAAATTTTTAGAATAACTTCCAGATTTCCAAAGGTTTTTGTTACTCGCGGGAGTGCTCTCGGAGAATTACTACTAACCTGAAGACATTTTTTTGTACATTTTCTTTCTCAAAAGGAGGCAAAATATTGAGGACAAAGATTTCAGAATAAAAGTGGATCTATCAGAGTTCGATGGAGGTATAAATCTAGATGATTTCATCAAATTTTTGCAGTCGAAAGAATCTTCGAGTATAAAGAGATGTCAGAAGATACGAGGTTGAAGGTTAAGACCATCAAATTGAAAAAGAGTGTCTCCTTGTCATGGGAAAACTTGGAGAGGCAAATAAAAAGAAAAGGAAGTGACAACATTACTAGATGGGAGAAGATGAGAAAAGAAAATACAAAGAAAATACTTACCACCACATTACCGTCAAGATATATTTTTGAAGCTCCATCACCTATAACAGAGAGACTTATCAGTGGAGGAGTTCACTACATAGTTTAACCAGTTGCAGATGAATTGATCGATCCCGAGAAACATGCCACAACCAGATATCTGGGGGGCCTGAAGCCAACTAGCAACAATGATGTGAAACGACAACCTTATTGGTCATTGGTACATGTCCGAACCATAGCTTTGAAGTGGAAAAACAACAGAGACAAAGCGGACAACCACCTAGAACTGCAGCTACCAATAAGGCCACATATAGAGTTGGGAAGACCGTAGCTGTGACACCAAACGACTACAAACACATAACATCCAGCTGTCCCACGAGCCGAGTAGTTTCATTCATGAAGGATGGCATCATTGAGGAAGTAGATGAGGAAGCAGAGGAAGATACATAAGAGGAAATTCAACTCCAATGAGACAAGGCAGAAATGTTGATCATAAGGAGGGTCTTATAGACTGAGCCGAAGAAGGCATTCACGTTTAAGGCATAGTATTTTCCACACCAAGTGTAGCGTGAAAGGAAAGTCCGCAGTTTGATTATTGATGGTGGGATCTGTGAGAACGTAGTATCCACTGATGGCGAAGAAATTGAAGTTGGTCAAACAAAAGTATCCTCGGTCCTTTTCGCTTCTTGGTTGCAAAGGGGAAACAAGATATGTGTAGATTAATAGTGCTTGGCTGAATTTTCTATCAGCGATCAGCTACAAGAGGTTGGTACGAGAAGATACCCATGGATGTTTACCATATTCTGTCCAGTGGTCATGATAGTTTACCACAAGACCCAACATGTAGGTTAAAGAACACTTATTCATTCAAGAATGATAAAAGACAGTTCTTTTTTCCGTCAAACACGCAAGAGGAGTGATCACAGAGGATATGGTAGTCCCAAGGGTCGTGTTCATGCAGTCGATACGAGAGGCTCCACTGGTAATGACTTAAGTCCTGTTCAAAGGAACTGAGGAGGAGGTTGAGATACCGACGCCCATACAACCCCTACTGTGTGACATTCAAGATGCGATGACCGACAACCTTCCAGAGAGATTGCCACCATTGAGAGACATTCAACATGTCATAAATCTCATACCAAAATCAATGTTGCTAAATTAGCCTGCCTAAATATTGAGACTTGCAGAGTATAAGAAATTACAATGATAGGTACAAGATCTCGTTGAGAGGGGTTTGGTAAGAGAAAGTACCAGCTAGTGTGCTGTCCCCGCCTTGATGGTACCCAAGAAAGACAGATTGTGAAGGATATGCATTGATAGTTAGGCCATCAACAAGATTACTATTAAATACCGGTTCACCATATATCGCCTGAATGATCTCTTCAATCAATTGCTCGAAGCCATTTTCTTTTCCAAGATTGACTTACACAGTGGGTATCACTAAATCCGGATGAGGCCATGGGACGAGTGGAAGACCGTTTTCAAGACCCGGGATGGATTATATAAGTGGACGATCATGACTTTCGAATTGTCTAATGCGCCCAACACGTTTATGAGATTGATGAATCAAGTGTTCCAAGCACAGATTGGGAAGTTCATAGTAGTGTACTTCGATGATATTCTAGTATACAACAGATCTAAGTAAAATCACTTACAACACCTAAGGACGGTTTTCGAGTTTTTGCGATTAGAGAAACTATACGTTCATCTAAAGACGTGTCACTTCCTGCTGGCACATATGCTTTTTTTTGGTTGTATTATGTCTAGTGCGGACATTCAGATGAATCCCACAAAGATCAAGACCATTGTGAGCTGCGAAGGCATCTCAATGAGAATTTTTTTAAGACTGACGTCATTCTATAAGCAATTCATCATGAGCTTGAGCAGCATCACAACTCCCCTAATCGAGCTTTAAAAAGGGAGAAATTCTAGCGGATAGATGCAGCTCAAGCAAGTTTTGATACACTAAAAAAGGTGACCTAAGCACTAGTATTGGCATTATCAAACTTCAAGCAACTGTTCAAGGTGGAATGTGGCACCTCCAATGTGGGGGTTGGAGCAGCACTGAGCCAGGTATGTCACCCCATAACATTTTGCAGTGAGAAGTTGAATGAGTCCAGAAGAAAATATTCAATCTACGACAAAGAGTTCTATGCGATTGTGAGAGCTCTTAACAACTGGAGTCACAATCTACTGATGAGCGAGTTCACCTAATTAACAAATCAGAAGACTTTGAAGTTCTTGAACAGTTAGAACAAATGAAGGGTCGACACAAATCCTAGGTGGAGTTCTTGGCATCGTTCTAGTTCATGCTCAAGCACAAGGCGAAGTTAGAACAAAGTAGCAGATGCACCGCGCCGCCGTCATTTGCTGATCACTTCTTTGCACTAGACAAAGAGTTGTTGCACATGACAACGAAGATTTTAGGGAGATCCAAAGTAGTGCCAGGTGAAGCCTGCAGAGCAGTATCATAAGGCTAATGGTTACTTTTTCGATCAGAATAAGTTGTGTAACGACTTGCAAGGCACTTTGGCAGGAATAAGACTCGTAATCGTAAGAGAACACTTTTTTTGGCCTCAACTAACAAAAGATGTGAAGCGACACGACAGACAATGCATAATTTGTTATGCGACCAAAAGCAGAGGTCAAAATGCAGGACTATACACTCCATTACTAGTACCAGAGGCCCGTGGGTGGATGTTGGTATGGATCATGTGGTAGGGCTTCCAAGAACACAATAGAACAAGGATTCTTTGATGGTTGTGGTGAATAAATTCTCAAATATGACACATTTCGTACCCCACCACGGATGCTAGATGCATCGCACGTTGCTGATTTGTACTTCAGACAGGTCGTGAGACTACACGAGATATTTAGGACCATGACTTCCAATAGAGATGTCAAGTTCTTGAATAACTTCTTGAGGACCATATGGGGCAAGCTTGACATTAAGCTTCAATTCCGTTCAGTAGCTCACCCATAGACAGAAAGCCAGACAGAGGTGATGATACAAGAGTCTGAAGAACCTTCTAAGGTGCTTTATGGAAAAGAATATTAAGCAGTGGGATTTGATTGAAGCCCATGCCAAACTAACTTACAATAGATCCGTAAGCAAGGCCACGAAGCGCACCCCCATTTGAGATTGTGTACAGGCGCAACCCTCTCAGTCAACTTGACTTGGTACCACTCTTTTCGGCAACAGAGATTAGCAAAAATACTGAGGAATGGGTGCAAGAGATTCAGGAACTACACGAAGTGCCCAACACAGACAAATAAGAGAGAAAAATGTGACTTTTCAAGAAGGAGACCAAGTGTGGATCTAACTGTGAAAAAGGTTTCAGTGAAAATATGCATTTGCATTACTATATCAAAAAAGTATAAAAACTATGCAATTATGCATCTCAGATGTACAAAAATGAGTGATATCATCTACAAATATGGTAGAGAGTTCCCTATCATCATCTATATGCAAAAAATGAAAAGTTGCCAATGGGAGTGTTCAGGAAGCTCAAATCTAAAGCAGATGGACCTTTCAAGATCCTCAAGGAGCTGAAACACAACACCTATAAGATCGACTTATCAGAAGACTATAATATTTCAACTACTTTCAATATAGCGAATACGATTTCATGCTACAAATAACCAGAAGCTTCGACGAATGATGTTGGAACTCCCCCAATCCCGGGATACTGACGGGAGGCTCACATGGGCTGAACCGGTTCAGTGAAGGAATTGTAGGGGCCGATTGACCCTTAGTTCTAGGCTAGGGGTCTCCACCTCCTATTTATCTACTATCGCTCACCCACACCCACACCCACACCCACACCCACACCCACACACAGAAACACAAAGATTGATCTAGATTTCTATTGTCGACATCTTTCTCCTTTACTAGGATTGTATCTGAGAACATGTTATGCTTTAACTTTTTCCCGCTCCAAGGTGGAGATTACCTCCTTATAATCCTCCCTCTCCCGCCTTCCCTGCTTGCTCCAACACTTCTCTAGCAACCTATTGTTAGCTTCCGCCACCTCCAACGACAACCCAACTTATTGTCGCATCTCCCCCTGCCAAACTGTTGGCTGCCGCCCCTTTCCTACCTTCCCCTGCCTACCGACCTACCACCAAATCCTTTGATACCTGCAACCTATAACCCTTCTGCTGCTGCCAAACCTCTCTACTATTTACAACCCTTTATTCCTACAATCTCGACACACAATCCACCAATGCCGAACCTTGCTCTAGGTAGTCTTTACGCTTGTGCATTATTTTTCCTAATTTTAAGAGTTTTTTTTTGGTAACATCTTTGAATTTTAGCACTAATACTTTCATTCCATTGCGGTCCGAGTTAACTCCCGTATCAGTATGATCTTCAGGCTTAAGATTCTTCTATGTTTTAATATTCAAATAATCATCATATCATTATTTTTCCTAATTTTTAGAGTTTTTGTCTGTAACACCTTTGAATTTTAGCACTAATACTTTCATTCCGTTGCGGTCCGAGTTAACTCCGGTATCAGTATGATCTTCAGGCTTAAGATTCTTCTATGTTTTAATATTCAAATAATCATCATATCAAAATGCAAATTGAGGCAAAGACATTTGCTCGCATTTTTATTCCAAATTAATTTCATACAGTCTTGGGAAGTGATTTGCAATCCCTTACAAAGAAGAGCAGCAAGTGTAAACATAAAGAAAATTTCTATTAGTTGATTGTGCACACCTGTAGATGGTTCATCAAGAATCACAATTGGAGGGTCACCAATCATTGCGATAGCAACAGATAACTTCCTTTTGTTACCACCGCTTAAGGTATATGATGGCTTATCCGCATGGTTCCACAAATCGAACTCAATCAACTTTTCATTAACAACCTAGAAAAAATGCCGAATGATTTAAGCATATTTACGGTGTATAGTGAACAAAAGCAATGACTCCGTATCAGTTAACACAAGAACTTGTCCTCTCACAATATTGATTCTATTCTCCGGAACAGATTTTATTTTTGCATAAAATTGAAGATGTTCACGAGCAGAAAGAAACTCAAATAGAGCATCAAACTGGGGGCAGTAACCTATCTGTAAAAAACAAGTAAAATGAAACGCAGATTACAGAGTGCCCAAAAAAAAAATTGAAAACAACATTTATTTACATAATTTGAAAAAGGTTAACGGAGTAGTTTTACATGCTGACGTGAGGAATCAGGATTTGAACTAATTTCAGATCCAAAAATAAAGGCAGCTCCATCCGTTGGACATTCTTCTCCTGTAAAGAGGCAGAGTGACAATGCATAAATAACAAGGGGATGTACCACATGGCAAATAATTCATCCTAACAGAAAAATAGCAGATATGATTGTCAAATGCTGAGAGTTACTCAGGCTGATCAAATTAGCACCACTCGGGAGAGAACACACACCACTTGTGCAGCATATAGTTCCAGTCAACAGTCTCGAGTTCTATTTGAACTGCCTTACCGAAACAAATAAATTTCAAATTACTGTTTTATGATATTTAACCTTTTATAATTTTTGGATTCATATAGTTATACTACATGAAATATGTGGATAAGAATTGTATCATGAAACCATTTTTATAAACTATAAAACCAACAAATAAATAAACTGATGTTTTCTAACTTAATAAGAAAAAAAAAACAGATATTTTAAAACCGTTGACTCTTATACATACTTGAGAACAAATAAATATTGTTTTAAAAATTTTAAACACTCAAAAGAAAGACTGAGATACAAAACAAACGAAATTTCCAGAAAAAAAAAAAAACTTTCTATAAAAAAAAAAGAAAAAGAAATTCTACTTATTACTTGGATCTTTCTATGTACAAAGATGACCTAACAATTCCTAGTCATAACACCATCGAATGATAGCAAAATTACCAATAATCAGTGATGTCAAACAAGAGATAGTTTCCCTATTTTTTGACATCGTCTATTTTTACATTGTTCCAAAATTGTAAAACACGAGGACATGGCATTATCAGCTGTTATACAAGAAATACTGATACCTGAATTAGTCAATATTTATTGGAAAACAAAGAGAACTTTATTAATATGTACAACATGACACAATGAAAAGGAAAAAAAAATGACAACAAACCAATCTCCTGCTAGGGCTCCAAGAAGGAGACTCGAGCGTAGTAAGGGCATGGGGAAGGGTTGGTAGCGGTGAGATAGGTCAGGAAGGGGGTTTTGGGGTCTGGTAGGTGGGCTGGAGTGCTGGTTGGAGGGCTGAACAGAGAGGGTAGCCTGCAGAGAAGGAGCGGCAGGGTGCTAGGGTGTAGGACAGGTGAATGGTCAGCAAGGGTAGGCTATAGGAAAGGGCGGCAAAGCGCTGGAATGAAATATGGGGAGGCCCGAGGTGACAGAGCGGAGAGGATAAGGGTTAGTTGAGGGTAAAAGAGGAGAAACACCACCATTTTGGTGAAGGATACAACCGGAGCACTACCACCTCCTCAGATATAACCTTGGAACAGGGAGAACACTCACATAGAAATTTGAAATCTGCAAAACCAAGACTGCCCTAATACTTTGAAAACAACAACAATATATAGGCTTGAATCGAAGGAAAAAAAAAAGGAAAGAAGTAGAAAAGGAAACTCCCACACAAGAGGAAGGGATGGAAATACTCCAGAAAATAGTCATTAAAAGCTTTCCATATGTAGAGAAGCGCATAAGTGAGGCGGTAGTCCCACCTCTTCTACTTGTCTCGCGATCCTTCTGCCCCGCTTCTTCTACAGGTCTCGGGACCTTATGCTCTGGACCGGTCCCTTGGACCGGCGAGGGAATTGGCCAGCTGAACCATTTTAGCGCCCTGTGTCGGGCGTTTCAGGGCCCAAGTCAAATACAACATATCTTCTCATTATCAAAAAGTTTACTATTTCTAGGATTTACAAATACAATAATAATTTATTATCATATAAATGATAATATTCTTAATTTAAAAAAATTAAAACTATAACAGCCCAACGGTAATTGAAGTTGAATGAAAAGCACAAAAAGGGTTAATGAATATGAATCTCAATTTGACAAAATAAATATTTGATGAAATTCTATTACATACGAGAGATATCCTTAAATAAATCAATTATAACTCAGAAGAATGTTAAAATGATACCCCTAATCTAGACAGCTTCGAAATGAAAAATATTACAGATTCTTAGGCACAACCTAAGGAAAGATTACATTTCAAAGAAAAAAAATGAGGATTGGGGATCGACAGCCATTCTACAAGTTTGCAACTAGTCTTCAGAGGATGGAAAACAATAGAACTTTAAATTTCAGAGAAGTAAAATGTACTGCTGTATTGCCATTATCAGCAGAACTGATATCCTGCATACTTACCAGTTAACATTGAGAGTGTTGTAGTTTTCCCAGCTCCATTTGTTCCCAGAAACCCAAAGCACTCTCCTTCATGAACTGCAAACGTCAAAGAATGAACGGCAACCTTTGCAGCATGTTTTTTCCCTGCAGGGTAGACCTGACAACTCATAGAGCAACATTAAAGCAACATAAGCGACTTCAGAAGAAACACCAAATTCAAACATTAACTCAATGTTTCAGCTTATGTCCTGTTTTGAAATGTAAAATGCATGATGGGCCTGATAATAAGTCTGTTTAAGTAAGCATATTTGAGATTATTGATTTCGTATCACATTTTCAAATACCTTTCTCAGATTGCGCAGACAAATTATAGCATTGTCTCCAAGGCCACTGTGAATTCTCTGCCTTTCAGCTGAAACATCTACATCCTCATCAGTTATCAACATCGAGGAATCACCAAATGATCCCAATAGAGGCTCAGAATAGCTCTGAGGCGTGTCATTATTCAGATAGTGTAAAAGATGCAACCAAACTCTACTTATTGTCGACCTAATTTTGTAGTGACGTACGCATTCAAGAGAAATAGTTAGAAGGAAGTACACAGCAATCTGCATAAAAAAGAATCAGCGGGATTAGAGCATATTATACCTTGACAGGATTATATTTTCATGGTTATCTATTCTTAGAATTTGTTCGAAGTTATCCTTTATTAGCTTGTTTGACTGCTAATTTAAAAAGTGGCTTTTGGATGAATTAAATTATTAATTATTTAATTGAATTTGAAAGCTTTTCCCCTCATATACTCTCTTCATAGTTTGGATAACTCGATGTACAACCAACTGGCCAACATGTTATGCAGCTCTTCATCATAGTTACCTTGTGTAACAGGTTTCCAGCATCAGAACATTGAATGCCTTAACAGATCAAATGAAAAGTGAAGCTGCACCTAATTGTTTATAGGTAAGGAATGGAATAAGATAAAGGCTGCCAGAAATGTAGATTAAAATTGAAAGGATGGCAAGGGCTTCTTCAAGAAGCAATCGTAGAAAGAAGACTTTTGCCAGGCCTTAACAGGTTACCTAAGTCAAAGCATGAGGGAATCACCGAGTCTATGGAGAGAACAAAGCCTCGAAGAAATATCAAGATGTGTTAGACCAGACAGCCTTGATTAAACAGTGTAGAAAGATAATATCACGCTGATTAATCAAACTGATACTAAAGGAAATTATGTCAGAAGTTACCTCAACAGCTAAATAGCACAAAGAAGCACCAGTAATGTTCCAGTCAAGAATCTGATGCGTTGATCCCATTTTCATATCTTGGTGTCGAAGAGCAAGAGATGCGAGCCCATCCGCAAAGCAAAATGATGGTGATAGCCTAAAGAAATTCTGAGAAAATACACCTTTCTTCATTATAGAGGAAACAAACGAAAGAAAAATATTGAAAAAATAAGAAAGAAAACTTCATGCCACATTCGGGTCAAGCCTTGAATGGATTATCTAGGAAGTCTAAAACTTGATTGAGGCAAACCGATCATCCATCTCACATTAGGATACTATTAACACTTTTATGCTTACAAAGAACATTCACAAAATTATCTGTCACCAATCCTCCAAATTTACCAATACAAAAAGAACAAGACTCCCAAAGATCCACAACGTCATAGTTAAATTAACAAACACACATAGCGGCATATATGTATTAAAAATTTAAAGATTATCTTAATGAAATCATAATCAGCTTCTACTCTAACAAGATTCTAATGTAATGCAGCTCCTATACCAAAACATAACCTATTGGCTCGATATCAGAAATATAATATAAAATAATTCCAATTGAATAAAAAAACTATTATGGCCCAGCCAGACGAGTGAGTTTGGGTTTTATATCTTAGAGATGAATACAAATCTCTATGAAAATTCCAAGCAACAATAAAGTTTCTTATAGTACAACACTAGTACAAGAAAACAACCATGAAAAGTAGAAATTTTTTATAGATTAACCAATAACAAATGCCAAGTCTAAATAAAAAAATTAAAAAAATTAAAAAAGAGAAGAAAAAGTAAATTGCAGAAGTCGAGTCTACAGATCTTGAAGTAATGATAAAATAGTGGCAAGTGATTGATGCTCAACAACAACAATTTGCAATAAGTAAAAATGAAATATAATTAAATATAATTAAATAATTAAATATAATTAAATAATTAAATATGAATAATTTAAATTTAATTTTCTAATTGTCAGCTTACAGCACTTGCGAAAAGGTGCCATTCAAATAGCTCGCGCCCCCGCAGCTATAACCAAGGTTATCTCTTCATTCGAATAAACTGCTTGAGATAGAGGGAGAGAAGAGGAGGTAAGCCAAGAGTGAGCCAGGGAAGAAGAAGAAGACGAAGCCAAAGCGAGAAACAAATGAGAATGAGAGGCAATCTCATAGACAAGCAAGCAAGCGTTCACTTTGTTGGTCTGAGCGGTTTGAGCTAGCCTTCTTTAAGCGGCTGTGAGTGAAGAAATAAGGCATCACAACTGAAAGAAAGTTCCGAGAAGCATTTGTGCTTACTAAGCAAAGAAGAAGAGAGAAGAGAAAAGAGAGAAGAGAAGGAGAGGAAGGTTGAAGGAGCTTTGTATGAGGGAGAAAGTAAGCTGAGTAGCATCTTCATAAGCGGCGACGCTTCACACATGCATAAGACGCTCGATCGAATGTTTGTGAGCTCTGGACGTTAGAAAAGGTAAGACAGTGAGAAAACAGAGGGGTTTTGCGGCTATATGTAAGAAATCCAAAACCCAAAATTAAAGTTTCTATTTATTTCTGCTTCCTTATGCTATATAATCAATTCCTAACTTTTGTGAAGATATTTTAGGAACCCTAAAACTAAATTTTCCTATATTTTATTAAATTTTTGTTAGGGTTGTTAGGACCAAAATAAACAGCTGACGCTAATCTTCTGCTCCTCCTTTAGTAACTACTGCTACCGTTTCTTTATTTCCCAATTTATGTAAGTTGTTAATATCGATCTGCAAGAGAACTTGATGTTCTCGTACTAATATATCGACGAAATCTTCTTGTAGACAGGCAATTTCTTTTACGAGCTTAGCTAAAAACATCTAATAAAGCATACTCTCATATTGAAATTCTATAAATTGTCACATTGGGAATTAGCTTCAACAATTTTATCATATATCAAAAGTACTGCTCATGTCTTGGCTTTAGAATTCTGTAGCTGTCGACAACTTGATTAATTATTAACTGGGAGCCATTGTAAATGCGGATATTCATTATTCTCTGTTAACTCCAGTTTAGTTATCAACGCTTAGTATTCTACCTCATTATTTGTACGTGACTCTGTTAAATAATAGAAAAAACATAACATTCTCTGCTTCGTAGTAATAAAGATCAATTCGATCTCTGCCTTATCGATGTTGACCTCATTTCTGGATGAGGTCTTTTTTGTCTCTCCTTAGAGCCTAGGGTCTAGCTTTAGGCTTTCCCCGTTCGACTCTCTTAGAGGACTAGTACGAAACGCACACCATTTAGAAAATTCAAGCCACCTCGTCACTCCTTCGAGTTTCGCATGGGCGGGTTCCAAATCCTCGCTCGACATTCCGTTGAGTTGATTAGGATCGACACATGAAACTTGAGTCGAGTTCCTACATTAATAGGAGCAGCCCTAGGGAACCCCTTCGCGACCCGAACGCTCGATAACGCCGCATTTTGCGTACTCACTGCACCACACACGACTTTGACTTGATTTGACTCGCCAACCGGAAAACTCGTCCGTACGACCCCGGATGACGAAACGGACTGCGCCGACGCGTCCGAAATGTCGACTTTAGCTAGAAGAGACACCCATGTCTCTATAGTTTCGCGCACGAGCGTCTAGCATGGATATCGATGCACCTTTTTAGCAGTGCACGGGCCAGGTTCGACTCGGGTTCGATTCAGGTTGGACTCGGGCTGAACACAGGCTAGGCACCAGCTCACCTGAATTTGAAATACCTGAATTTGAAATCACCTGAATTTGAAATTCAAATTTCAAAATTCAAATGGATTATTTAAATTCTGCTTAATTAAAATTATCTTGGTCTTAATGTTTTCCATTTAATATTCCCCTGTATTTGGAATTCATTAATTTCCCCGCCAATGGCTTCCAGAGTAACGGCTCCCGCTCCAATTCTAAAAGGAAGGATCGCCTTCTTCCTCGACTGGTCTTCCTTCTCTGCCTTTCCCGAACGCCTGCTCCTGCTTCTGCTCGATTTCGCTCGACAGAAAACCCTCGCCTCCCTGCTCACACTCAACTGAAAACTTCCCCCGCTCGACAGAAACCTCGTTCGACACTTGCTCCACTCGACCCCGCTCGCCTGCTCCTCCCTCTCGTGCGTGACAGAGCAGTCGTTCGACCCCGCACGCCTGCTCCACCCTCTCGCGCGCGACAGAAGAGCCGCTCGACCCTGCTCGGCGCTTGCTCCTTTCGATCTCGCTTCTCCTTTGTTACTCGATCGCAGCTCCAGATCAAAGCTCCCGTTCGCTTCTCCTCTTTGCGACGGAGACTCGTGCTCAATCAAACTCCCTCCTCTGCCTCTCCGGAGCTCCTGTTCATCTTCCTCCGCACCGAGCCCCTCACCCGCTCGTCTTTTTCGACCGAACTCCCTCCTTCATCCGCACCGAGCCCCTCACCTGCTCGTCTTTTCCTCGCTTGATCAAACGGTCCTGTTCGTCTCCCCCGCTCCTGTCGCGCCTCTCCCTCACGACCAGAAGACCGAACACCCTCCTTCGCTCGCTCGCTCCTCTTCTGTGATTCGATCGCACCCCTAGCCAAAGCTCCTGCTCGCCTCTTGACCAAACGCCTCCTCTGCGACCGAAACCCCTCATTCCTTCAGCTCGCCCGCTCGAGACTCTTCCACGCTGATCGCGCCTCACTCCCCTCACGACACTCGCGACAGATCCCGCTCCCATCTCTGCATCTGAAATCCTTGCGAGCTCTCTACTTCTCAACACACGATCTTCCTCGACGATATCTTCCACCGGTAGCTGGCCAACCCACATTTTTTATCCAGCTAACTGCAAGCTTCCTCCCATTCGCAAAGGTAGGCTTCTTCCCCCTCCTTCGACACGAGCAACTTTTCTGAATCTTCTTCTTCTTGGACTTCACGGTATGCAAATAAATTTCTCTGCTTACCAAGTTACAGAAACTTGTCTTTGTTCCAATTCAGATGCATGTGCTTTGCTTCGGCCATACATTTTCTCAGATATTTTATTGTCGTAATTATGAATTTATTTATGCCTTTTATCGGCATATATATTTTGGGGAATGTTTAAATGCATCTTCTTGGGGTTGGTTTACATGTTGTTTTGGAAGAAATGTAGGTAGCGTTGAGATGTTTGAAAACTGCTTGGGGGGGCTTGAAAGTGTTGTTCGGTGATTAATAGCTGTCGTTAGTTACTGTAAAAGTGTTGTTCTTTGCTGCGAGAAGCTGTAGGACCGCTGTCCAATACTTTAGTAGCTGCCCAGTGTCGTAAGAAGCTGTAGGACCGCTGTCCAATACTTCTACTTCTAGTAGTTTCCCAGTGTCAGGAGAAGCTGTAGAACCACTGTCCAATACTTCTAGTAGCTGCCCAGTGTCGTAGGAATGCTATAGAGTGCTGTCAAATGTTTCTAGTCGCTGCCTAGCGCCGTAGAAAGTTGTAGGACTGCCGTCCAATGCTTCTATTTGCTACCCAGGGTCGCAGGAAGCCACCTAGTAGTCGTCCACCACGATTTGGGTTCGTAGGAAGCCACGTAGGAGATGTCTACCACGATTTGGGTTCGTTTGGACGCCATTTAGTTGCTGCCCACCTCTGTTCGGATTCGTAAGAAGCCGCATAGATGCTGCCCATTGCTGTTTGGATTCATAGGAACTCATACAGGCGCTATTCGAAATTCCTAGCCGCTGTCCGAAGTCGTAGGATCACCGTACACATTCGCTAGTTGCTTACCGGAGCCGTAGGAGATCGTAGGATCAACACACTAGCTCGCTAGTTGCAGTAACGAGTTGTAGGAGGCCTTAGGATCACCTCTTTTGAGTTCCTAGCTGTAACTACAACTTGTTCTACTGTTTACTGTTTTCTTATTTTCTCTGCAATTTATTTAAACTCCCTGTAAATTATATTGTGCTTTGTGAGTTGAACATGCAACAGGGATATCAGCAGCAGATACGTCACGTACGCAGGTAAATTTTATTTGTTATTGTTTCTTTATTGCAATTATTGTTGCTCTAACACATTATGCAGGTACTATTATGCAGGTACTGAATACAATTGAATACAATCTCAATTTCAAAACAAAATGATTTTTCAAAATTAAACAACATTTGCAAAAAAAAAAATAAAAAATAAAAACAAAACATAACA